ATTTTGGGAACCTGATGAGTACGAAAATGTTTGTGAAAGCTCCTAGATTTTCATGTGCTGCCTTGCTCAGGTGATAGGCTGGTCACTTTAATAGCAATCTTCTGGGACTGATGGCTTAATATATCAGGAATGGGCAAAATGGGAATCAAAAGACCCAGGTTCCAGTTTGAGTCCTGGCATTAGCCAGGCTCTGGGTACTTAGGCAAGGCAGCAAACTTCTCTGGCCTTCAGTTTTCTCATCTGTAAAGCTAGAGATTCTCAAACTGTGCTCTGCAGTGTTTTGGGGTAGTGAGGTGGGGCCCCGGGGTTCTCAGTGGTGAATGGGGAGGCAGGGCTGAGAGAATGGGAGGCTTCAGCCAGAGCAGCCCTGCTTTTGTCTGCTGTACATGTAAGACTTTATGAAAAATTAATTTTTAATTATGCAGGAAATATACTATTCTTCTTGCCAGGAATTAGAACATTGCAGATACAAGTAAAGCCCCTTCGGCCATTACCCTCTTCAGTCCCGATGTATGTTGGGGACGTCAATTAAAATTTCCATTTAGACAAAGGGATCCTAGCTCTAACAAGTTGGGGACAACTAGTCTGGTTAGCCTCTAAGGATCACAAAAGTGCAAAAAGGAGAGATTTCAGAGAAAGGGGATAAGCCATGGCTGGAGAATATTTCATAAGGTTGAGCATGCAATGGTTTACTGAAATGGAGCATTGCTCTGGGTACAGTGATTTGAGGCGATGTCACTGCGGCGTGCTGGCAGTATACCCAGGAGAATGCTGTTGGGCGGGAGGACACAGATTTCTTAGAACTGGAAGGCTTATGTACGTGTTCCAAACCAGCCTTCATTTCCAGTGGGATTAGGATTGCCTCTCCTTTTTGGTCTGACCTTAGAAAAACAGCAGCTGCAACTAACATTTGCAGTGGGTTTACGAGGTGCCCGGTGCTGTGCTGTGAGGCCGGTCTCCTTAAACCCTCACAGCATCCCTGAGAAATGACGGCACCTGGGAGGTAATAGAGTACTTATTTTAAAGGTGAGGACTCTCAGGCACAGAGATTAAGGAATCACCTAAGGGCATGTAGCTGGTAAGTGAGGAGTAGGGATTTAAGCCCAGGTCTCTTTACTCCAGGGCCTGGTGCATCCCTAGGCACTGGACTCCTCCCATGCATTGCTTTCTGCCATTTGAGCTCCATTTCACCTGTATGTGTGCTAGGTGGTGGGTATAGGAAGGAGGAAGCTCACTGGACACTGTAGTTTGTCCAAGATTTGTTTCCTCACTTTCCCCGTCTTCCAAACCCCAGGGTCTCTGGCATGATGCTCGGTTAGTCCTCTGGAAACTCCCACGGGCAGGTTAGCAATGGCCCTTCTACAAACAGCCAGAGAAGACGCCAGGTGGGCTGTGCCAAGGGCAGGGGAGAGACTGTTCATGCACCTTGTAAAAGGAGACAGGGAGATTAGCGGGTAGCTGCAGAGCCCTGCAGCCCACCGCACACTGGCATCCACCCGAGGAGAGGCTGCGGCGTCCGGCGTGGCGGGCTGCCAGGACCCCCGCGCCTCCGGAACCCAGACTTGCGTGAAGGTAAATGTAAATCGGCTCCCTCCAGCGCACATCCTGCAGAGGGAGGGGTGTCAGTCTAAGCGCGTGCTTTCCTCTGCCGTCAGCGAGAATGCTGATTTTATTTTTGCCTTTTATGAGCTTGAGAGAGGGAATTCATTTCCTTGGTATAATATGACCCTCTGGAAAAAGTCTTGTCCAAATACATTTTGCTCACAAATTCTGTTCTGGAAGAGGGACCGTGTTGGAATGAAACAGATAATTAAAGTTTGATTTATAGGTAAGGTGAATTGGTAGGTTTCTGCATCCAGGAAGGTGAAAGGGAATGAAAGGGCTCTTCCTGGGATCTGGAAACCTTCGTAGAAGGAAATACTTGGGGTGCCCGTACTTTTATTTCAGCCAGGCTATATTTTAATATATTCACCACATTTGCCCCACTCCTCTCTCTCACCAGACTGTACATCCCTGAAGGCAGGAACTAGGTTTATCACATCTTGGTATCCTCAACATGGCGATGTTTTTGCAAATTTATTTATGAGAAAGGGATTCTCCACTGAGCAGGCTTTTAAATCTCATCTGACTGAGCCACCTCTTTCTTCCTCATTGGCTGGTTAACACTCCCTCCATCCCAACCCAGTTCTTAGAAGTATCAGGACCTCCTAACAACAGCCCCTCCGTTCCCTCCACCCCGCAAAAGCGCACGGTCCGGAATTATGCTTCTTTCTGGTTATAAGTAATGTAATAAGATTATTAACAATAAGCTTCGACTGAGGATTTTCTATGAATCAGGCATTTTTCTAAGCACTTTCTAAGTGTTATTCCATCTACCCCTCTCAACTTCTCTGTGAGGTAGGTACTGTTATTATCCTATCGTTCAGATGAGAACACTGAGGCTTGAAGTGTTTAAGTAATTTGCTCAAGATCACAGAGCTTGTTAGTCAGTGCATATAGCTACTATTCATTGGGTGCTTACTGAGGGCCAAGTGCTATGCCAATTACATTGAACTGACTATCTCATTTTATAGTGCCCTTAACTCTCAAGAAGCGGCCTCCAGTGTTTAGAATTTGAAGCATTTTGTCCTTTGGAGACTGGAAACCTTGTGAAGCAAGGTCTTTTTCACTTCTCTATCTAGAAAATTGAGGGTGGTGCTAGGGACAGAGCAGTAGCTCAAAAAAATATCTGTTGAGTGAATGAGGGGTCTTTTCCATGGGAGCTGCTTGCCCAAGACCCCTTCCTCTCCAGGCAAGTCCTGCTGATGCTCAGGCTGCCTTTGGAACAGGTTTCCTGGCCGTGACTCCTCTCTGCCAGGGAAGCAGGCCATCACCAGGCCCCCACAAGCATCGTTGGAAATTGAGTGCTCCAGGGCTTCCCGAGGGTTGTGCCAGCTGTAAGGGGCAGAGCCAGGTTTTCTGATGCCAATTCCTTCCTTTGCTGGCCTGGCTCCTTTTTTCTGACTTGGCTAGTAGCCTCTCATGGATGGGGATCTGATTGTTTAGGATAATGTCTTTATTTACTTTTAGGTTTATTCAATTTCTGTTTTAAAAAATAAGTATAAGGGAGTTATTGTTTAATGGATACAGAGTCTATTTGGGAAGAAGAGAAAGTTCTGGAGATGGATGATGGACAATGATGATGGTTGCATAACCATGTGAATGTAGTTAATGTCTCTGAGCTCTACACCTAAAGATGGTTAAAGTGGTAAATTCTGTGTTATGTGTTATTTTGCCACAATTAGAAAAAAACCCCCACAAATAAGGGTCTATTTTTCTAATATAAGAAATCTGAGGGTAGGTAGTTACAGGGGTTGATTCAATTCCTTGATAACGTCACTAGAGTCATCAAGTCTTTCTATCTTTACAGTCTTAGCACAATGACTTTCATCCTGGTCGCAAGATATACTCTGAGACTTTTTAAATTTTATCTGCTCAAGAGAGAAGGCAGGAGGGAAAGGGCAATGCTAGCCATGGCTGTCTTTTATTTGGAAAACCGCTAGCAGAATTGTCTTACGTCATTGGCCAGAACTGGGCCTCATGGCCTTGCTGGGTAGAAGGGTGGCTGGAAAAGTGATAACTTAGTTTGCCTACCTTAGAGTTGAGGAGGAGCTTTAGGGGAGAAGGAAGTTGGGAGTCAGTACCGATTGACAACCAGCAAGTTGTATTTAGTGCTGAAGGTCACAGCAGGGCTGGCCAGGCTACAGCCTAGTCTCCTGGTTCCCAGTCGTGAGCTCTTTTGCAAGGACATTTGATACATTTTGTAGTGGCCAGATTCCCAATAAAAAGGATGGTCCTGGGGAATATTTTTCAAAGAGAAAAGCTCTCTAATGCATGTACCGAAATTAAACAAAATGCTAAGAGGTCCAGAAGTCACTGGGCATGGTGGGGTCCAGAACATCTGAGCACTGCCCCAGGCTGGCTGCAAGTATTGGGAAAGGTCCCCAGGTCTCTGTAGTTACAAAATGTGATTATTTCTTTCTTGGTTAACATTGTTCATCAAACTCCCATTACTTGTTTTGATATCTCTAGATGAAAGACCCAGCAGGAGGACAAGTAGTTGTTATTAACCGAATATTCGCTATCAAGTGTGGGCTTATAAACACAAGATGATATATTTCAAATGTTGGATTAGGATGACAGACACTTCCACCCATTTCTTGTCAGGAGCAGAGGACAACAAGGGCTCCAGGGGACACTTAAAATAAGGAATGTAAACAGATATCCCTGTTGTAATTACCTTGCCATTACAAGGAAGCTCTGATGTGCACACTTGGCTTTTGAAGATAGCAGAGAATGCATTCCATTCTTTCTGATCCCACCACTTGCTCTTTGCATGGGAGGCACCAAAGGGGAAGGAGCAGGCCCTGCCCGCTGAGCCCAAAGTGGGCACCTCTCCTTCTCTATCAAGCCTTTCTGGGTCGACTCCAGGTTACACTGACCATTCGCCTTCGTTCTCACCCCAGGCTGCCATATATACGGAATGTTTTGGCAGTTAGTGGTATTGAAGTTAACTTTTCATCTCTGTGTTATGAGCAATGCCAGGACTGGGGACTGTTTGGAACTCCTCAACCCCAAAGGCTTGAATATGTCTAGACACATGGCACATCCTCCGTAAACACAAGCTGGACCATGGCTTTCATGGGTTGGAGTTTTATTTCATGATGCTTAGGAAACTAGGTGTGTGATTCCAGGATAGAATATGAAAGAAGCGAGAGCTTCCAACCCCTGTGTTCTCGCAGAATCCCCCATGGTCAGATCACAGGGACAGTCCCTAAGCTCAGCAAGACACTGACTTTGGGAATCCTATAAAAGGAAAGAGCAACTCTGCGAAACTGGAAGTGAAAGCGCTTCAAGGAAGGGCAATAATTCTTAAATGGGAGGGGAAAAAAGGCAGTCCTGGTAAATGTGAGAACAGGAGACCCGAGTTAGCTGAGAAAGCCCAAAATATTACTGCAAAGAAATGTTACATTTTTATTAATTCATCATCAGAATGTAAAAATAAATAAGTAAACAGAAAACCAATGGAATCACTTCACAGAAAGCACATTCATTACTTAATAGTAGCACCTCGATGTTTGGGCACTTTCCGGTCATGTCTGCTTGTCAGGTTCACTCACGCTGACCAGTAAGTGATTGTTGATCATTTCTATGTATCTGTCTGCTTTTCTTGAGTGGCTATTAAGGAGCAACTGGCAATTCTGACAATTTTATGTCCTTAGCCATAACTACACTTGTCTTCCCTCTTGAATCGTACGATCTTTTTACATCCCAGACACTTATGAGGTCTCTATGTCACTCTCCTATGTCTTACAGATAGATGGGGCAGGGACTGCCACAGAGGCTGAAGCCGAACTTCAATTTTAATCTTTAAAAAAAAAATTTTTTTTTAGCCCTTTCTAAATACAAGCATCCAACGATTAAACTTGCTTAGAAGTGCAGGCGGCCCTGGATTACCAGCACCACTTCAAGGAGTCTTCATGGATATGGGAACTAACATCTCCTCAAGTGGGTTCCTGTCTCCATGTCTATTTAATTATCTCTTGTGTTCTCATCCATCATAAACATATTATGATGCTGGCATCAGAACATTGTGTTCTTACTGGTTGTCATAAAACCGATGCCCTGGCAGCCTCAGTTGAAAAGTTGTCAGTATAAATAACATATAAATTCACATTTTGCATAATAGGGCCCATTCCTTATGGATCAGGTCATGAGAGTGTAAAACATATATCTTGGCACAAAAACATTAAATAACCATAATAAATAAATACATAAATTACTTAAATAGCACTTGCAAGTTGGAAACTCTATAAATAAATTAGCTGATTGTTTCAGTGGGCATTTAGAATTTAAATATAAAAATACAGCAAAGACATCACTATGATCCTAAAAAATGCTAATTAGGTAGAAAATATCTTTTTGGGGTCTATTAGATCATGTCTTTTAAAACTTTTACATATTTTCCACTTTTCTTCCAAGATTTCATTCTGGGAGTAGAACCTGAAAAAGAATGCCCAAAGTCTGTGAGGATCAGAAATGTGGCCACAAACTCTTCTTATTTCACACGACTCATTATCCAGGCAATAGGGTTGTGGGGGTTCTGTGTCAGAAGGGTCCAGCTCTTCCTTATGTGGCCTAGGGTTTGACTGGTACCTTGCTCACCAGAGACTCTTAAGAGTTTTCTTAAAATATCTGATGATGACTGAAAGCCTTTTGATGGCCCCCCAGTAACTCCTCTCGTGGGGTTCTCATTCCTAGAAACAGCTTGTAAGCCATTCATGCTCTCACTCTTGGCTACCTCTCTCTCTTCTTTGCCTTTGCCTCTAGAAGGGCAGGACCTATACATGTTCTTCTTACTGCAGTATCCCTGAGCCCAGAACAGTGGCTGGAACAATGTGGGCATCAAATAAATATCTGCTAATGAACAAATGTATGTTTCTGACTATGGTAGCTGTGCCAGGCACCCCATCCCCTCTTTCCTCTCCTTCACCGAACCCCACCATTGCCCTGCACCTGGGTACACTGAGTGTGCAGGTCTGGGCTGGATCTCGTGGGCCTGCTCACCTAACTGCAGGACACTGATGCCCATTCACTCCAGGATGAGCTATAGTAGCGGTCCCGAGCTTGCACGCGGATCATGGCATCCTTGTGGCACGTTACCTTGGCTGAGGTCTGATCCACGAAGAGTCTATCTTTCTGCAAAGAAGAGGGAAATCTTTGGCAATGCAGTCAGAAGGTAGGCAGGACATATATCTGCAGATCACATCTCTCAAAACAAGCATACTCAGGTTTTAGGGTATCATGCTTGTAATTCACAGGGGAGTGTGTAGAACTTGCGCCACCTACTGACAGAAGCTCTAAACAGATGCAGCTTTTCGACTGAGCAAGGCCTAAGGGTGAAATTGGTCCAGCTTTCATCTTTCTAGCTGAGCTGCCTTGCTTGAAGTTCTCATGTGCACTCACCCGAGTACTAAGCTGTTGGTGGGACTGGGACCGATTTGCTCTAGTTGTCCCCTGGATATTCAGAAATACCATACTCTCATCCTTTCATCCGACAAACTTGTGTTCAAATCCAGGCGTTACTACTTATTAGCTGTGTGACCACAGGAAAATGTCTCAGGTTCTCTGTGTCTCAGTTTTCCCATTTATAAAAGAGGAATGGTACTAATGCCTGCCTCATCGAGTTGTAAAAGTCAAAGGTGATAATCATGTAAAACTCTTAACAGAGTCTCTAATGGTGTAGAAAGCACTATTAATGATATAGATCTTAAGTAGGAAAGATACACATCAAGATTTTAAATAATATTTAGGTAAAATTGACTCCAGAATAGTCCTCACTCCCGCAAAAAAAATTCTTAGAGAGTGACCGAATTAGAGTTTCTACCAGATGCTAAATTTGTTGAGTGATTTTAAAACTGGGGTCCAAGGAGGCTGGGGCTCAATAAAAGTGCCTCTGAGATCTTGGGATTATTGATGCCAGGGCAAGAAAATTGGAAAGGCATCATCATAGCCTATGTAAATACTTAACATTCTGTTTGATAAAATAATTTCACAATATGTGTAACAGCTGAGAGTTATCCATTTTGGATGAGACAGCATAAATGTTCTATCATCCATTATATTCATTCAGTCAAAACAATAATTTTAGGTTCCTGGAGCCCAGTTCTATTAGGACCAATTCTGAGTCCAAGAATTAATGGTCAGCCATAATGAAGGTGTATGGTCTTTGTATCTGGTAGTCTGAGTTTATGTCCTGGTTCTGTCACTTCCTAGCTGGGTGACGTTGGGCAAATCATTTAACCTCTCTGAGCTTCAATGTCTTCACAGTGGTCATAATAACACTGCCTGTCTCTGTGGAGTTACTGTGGGATTAAGTAAGACATACATATATAACCCTTAGCACAGTTTCAGGCATAGAGAAAGTACTAAATAAAAATTAGCTGTTATTATTTTCATTTATTTTCTTCTTGATGTAGGTCTGCATAAACCTGACCACAGAATATATGGCACCTGAATCTTACCTTTTCTCTCTTGTTCTTGCCCTGGACCTGAAGAGAAAATGTCAGGGAGAAGTAGGAATGTGGGGTGCTCCAGGTGTCGGGGTACTCCCAGCTGACCTCCACATGCCGGGAATTCTTTAATGGCTTTAGCTGCAGGTTCTTGGGTGGGTCTGGTTTGACTGTTGAAAATAAGAAACAGTCTTTATTTTCCTAGTCTTTGGAGTAAGGTCTTTGGAGTAAGGTAGTTCTGGCTTTGATCCCACTTTCACCTTTGACCAGCTGTGAGTCCATCAGATAGTTACTTAACTTCTCTGAGCATCTGATTGGCAGATGTGAGGCACCCTTGCTACTGGTGAGGCTCACACTGGTGCCTGTAGAAGGCAGCCCTCACCAGTTGCCACATCCTTTAAGGCTGAACCTGGGATTCAGCGTCCTTCTTATCATTGCACAATCAGATGGGCCTTGGCGGTGGAACCAAGTCTACATAGTGCTCAGAAGAAAGTTCTTAGAGATAACAAGACTCTCATATCTGGGCTGTCGGTGAAGGACCACCTTCTCTGTGGTCACCCCGCTCTTTGCACCAAACCTATACTCGAGCTGAGCCTCTTGCTGAGGATGTGAGAGATTTCCCACTTAGTGTTCTTTTCTTTTGTCTTTTCATGGTGTCTGGCACTGATTTGTCTTGTAGCAGTTATAGTCACATGGTCTCTATGCTCTTTCATTAAATAATTATGCGCCAGCAATCATTATGTGTCAGCCATGAAACTGCATGGACAGTACAGCAGTGAATGTCACGAAGACTGTCCTCAAGGGTTATAGTCACATGGTCTCTATGATCATTCATTAAATAATTATGCGCCAGCAATCATGATGTGTCAGCCATTAAACTATGCATGGATAGTACAGCAGTGAATGTCACGAAGACTGTCCTCAAGTAACGTAGCATCTTCTAGATGAGGGGAGGGAGACATTCTAAGCAATGCGCTTAGCTCCTAAGCCCAGCACCACTCCAAAGACCATGGCTCTTAGCAGATGTTTCACAAATATTCTTCCCTCTGTTCTTGACATGACTGACATCTTTCCTTTAGGACTCAGCTAAATGTTACTTCCTCAAAGAGACTTTTCTTGGCCACCCTACATGAACTAGACTCTATCTTCCCCTAACCCACCAAGGTCAGCCTCTTCACACATTGCTAGAGACAGTTCTGTGCTTCTCTCACAAATTATTTCATGATGCATGTTCAGTGGATAAATAGTAAAGGAAATGAAAAATGACAAAAATCTCCATCTACCAATTAAAAAAAATTGGTGTCCATTTTGGAGGGAATTATATTCCAATAAATAAATCTCTTTTCGAATGCTAGAGAAAGATTGGTTGGGAATAATTGCAATTGGTAGAGAAGCTCTGGTTCTGAATAGGAATATTATACTTAAAGGGATGCTCCTAGATTCATCGTGGAAGCTGCCTGGGCAGCAGAAAAGAAGTGTAGCCAAGAGCCTGCTTTTTTAAGTGGGGCAGATCTGGGTCTGAATTGCTAGCTGTGAAATCTGGGGCAAGTTGTTTAACTTTTTTTTTTTTTTAAAAAAGACTAAATTTCCTCTTCCTTAAAATGCAGATAATAGTACCTACATTGTACTTTCTGGAGCGCGCAAAATAAATTAGATAATGTATGTAAATCCTTTACTCCAATGCACGGAGCACTGTGAACAGGTGACAAATGGTATCTATCTTTATTAAGCACATATAATAAAGCAAACTCACTGATGTCCCTGATGAAGAAGCTGCTAGTGTAGTTTTCATACTTGAGCTTGTGAACAGCATCCACCAAGACCTCAATGGGCAGGCTCTCCTCAGCGGCGGGGCACGAATTGCCCTCTTGACACGCCACTGTGTACTTCTTATACTCCCTGTTGTCCACTCTGACCCTCTCTGCTGAGAGTGTCGCTGCTCCACACGTCACCCCTCGGGGGTCAGAGGAGCTGAAGTCAAAGACAGACATATCCTGTGTCACACATTTCTAGGAGTTCCTAGCAGGAATAAGAAACTGCCTTTCCCATGAGAACACGATTGGCTTCAGAGGTAGTGCAAATGTTTAGAAACAGCTCTGCACTTATATGCTTCTGGCCGAAATGAATCTGGAAAATTTTAGATCCAGAGCCTCTGGTTACATCTCATTAAAATGTTTATTTTGTTTTTCCCATTTTAATAACAAAATCAATACATGCTAATTATAAAAAACTAAAGGAACTATGTGTGCCTCTTGAACCCTAATCCCCCTTTTAACTCCAACTTCACTTCCTGAATACAAATATTATTCATATCTTGTATCTTACCAGACTTTTTCTATGAATATTCAAAGCAATCACATATCCACATGTATATCTGCATACACACATATTTTGTCTATAGAAACACACATAGATTTTATTTTTTATGAAATAGGATCAAATGATATACATATGGTTTTATAACCATCTTTTCCCTGTCTGAACATATTATGGGGAGTGCTCCAAGACAGACCATATAGATTGGGTTATTCATTTTGATGACTACACATTAAGCCAGAGTATAACGTACCACACTTTACTTGACCTTTCCCCACTGATTACCAAAAATGTCACAATGAAGATTTGCATCTATATCTTCGTGCACTTGTTTAAGCATTTCTATGGTAAGCATTTCTATGGTAAGCATTCAATATTTAGAGATGGAAAAGTGAGACCCCAAAAGTTGCTCAGGTAAACAGCGGCAAGACCGGGATGATCACCTAGGGTTGGCTCCATCATCCTACATTGTTGGGAACTTAGACAATGAGTGGAGAAAGTTACATAGAGGGGCTAAAATATAGGTCCTGTATCCATGGGAACTGGTTTCTTAGGGAAAGTCTAAGTGTCTTGGACAAACCGTGAACTTCAGAATGAGTAGTGTCAGTGGAAGAAAAGAGTGGAAGGGGTCCTGGAAAAATTTCTGCAGGCCTCGCGGAGTTCTGGAGTCGGCTTCAGGGCTTTCAAGGTCTATGGTCTAGAGCTCTTATTTCTGTTTTTTTGAGGTGCAATTTTGGCAAGTCATTTGTAGCTTCGATTTCTCCTTTTACCCCTCCCCACGGTGCTATGAGCCTTAAGGAAGCATCGCCAGGCAATTTGGATGAATGAGTTCAAACACAATAGGGGCTATTCCCAGGCCCCAGTGATATCCTGTTCTGATGCATACATTTGTTCAGGCAATTAGCTTAAATGTCCATGTGATGGGGGCATTGAAAAAATAAGTTCACTTGGTTTTCTCTCCTATCACTAACTGATAGGCCATCTTTATTTTCTTAATGAAATAGTAGTTCTAGCAAAATGCTGGGAAACCAGAGTGGTTTCACTTACCCTCTGCTGCTTTTGACACTGAATTTCAAATCAGCACTGATTGCAGTCAGCCACCAGCAGGTGAAATGTCCAGAATAATTCTTTGCTTTACATTTTAGAAAGGTCTTATTTTTGGGTTCTGGATTTGGAAAAAAAAAAAAAATTCAATATTTAGGTTCCTCCCCCCAGAAAGATTTTGATTGTGATTAATTACAGGCCACCAAATGGTAAAAGAGTAAAGAGCTTCCTTTTATTTCCTTGGAAAATGATGCTGCTTCCCTGACAGGCAGTTCAGCGAGGACTGGGAGTGTCCCAATAGGATGCTGACTCTGTATAGCATACAACACATCTAACACACTGGAGGGAGGTATAAATTTTTGTTCAAGGTTATCACCCCAGTGCTGAGTTATGCACTATACATGTTGATTCACTTCTATTAGTCTCTCAGTAATATCACCATTATTTAAAGAGAAGCTTAGGAAAAGCATCTAGACTCATCATGAAACTTTCTTAACATGAGATTTTGATGGTTGATAATCCAAAGTATCTGGCAAAGGAAAACAAAAGCAAAGAAAAATGTAGCTTCTGGGTAGTTTCAGTAAGGGACTTGATTACTTCATTAACTACATTAATCATTTCTTTAAACTGTTTAATTTTTGTATCTCTTATGGAGCAAAAGAGAAAACTGACATCATCCAAGGGGATGGAATTACCTTTCTGGTCCTTTAAAATATCAGTGGACCAAATGCCATCTTCCTTTTTGTGAAGCAGCAGGAGAGACTGGCTCAGAATCTTGCCCTCTTTGTGACAGGTGTACTGGCCAGCATCTCCGAATTCTTTGACTTGGATGGTCAAGGTTTTGCCAGAGCCTAAGACCTCACTGCTCTGGTCTGAGGTCCAGGTGATGCCTTCTTCTTCAGGGGTATCGCAGGTGAGGACCACCATTTCTCCAGGGGCATCAGGGTACCAATCCAACTCTACAACATAAACTGGAGAGCACAGAGAGTGGAGAACCGGACTGTCAGCTCCGTGAAGTCTGGGACTGTGTGTTTTTTGAACTACCTGGCCATCTGCACTGCCAAAGCACAACCTTGCTCATAACAGCAGAGGCTTGCTGAGATGATCTCAGGGTATTGGGCTTGACTTGGGCTCAAAGTAGTGGAAGAAAGAAGCGAAGAATTTTATAGATGCTTCAATTCATTAACTAGCAGGGAGCAATTAGTAATTAACCTCTGATTAGCTGGCGGATGAGGAAGACCTTGTTACACTGAAAAAATGCAAACAACACAAGACTATTTGCTGAAGGCCTGGTGGAGATGAGAGACTTCCAGCACAATTTCAGGCTCATAGGGAATAAGGCTGTGCACGAAATGTCAAGAAAGAATGACCCCACTAGCTCGGTGGAGAATTTGGAGAAAGGTACTTAATCACCATGAGCCTCGGTTACCTCGTCTGTAAAATGAAAATAATAATAGTATCTATGTTGTAGGTTTGGCTGCGAGGACTAAATGAATAAAAGCATGTGGAACACTTAGCACAGTGCCCGCCTCCATAAACTCAGTTGCTATTCACAGGCCAAAGGGTCAGACAACTGCATAGAGAAACCGTCTTACAACTTTCCATGGGGATTTTAGGATTTAGTTCCTACTGCATGAAACTCACCAATGGAGTTTTTCATTCTCTCCTTATTTTTTTAAAGCTATTTACATCCTTATGAGGCAGTTGATTAGGTCTTAGTCTTCCCATTTTATAGAGGAAGGTACTAAGACCGAGAGGCTAAGCAAGGTTTATGGCAAGTTAGAAGCACAAGAGCTGTATCTCAGACTTTCTGTCTCCCTGGCTTTGCATTTGAGCTCCAATACCTGTATCTAAACTGGCACTTGAGGGATGGCTTAGTATATAGTATTTCAAAGAAGATGTCACCTCGAAGCTCCATTCATGCATCAATTATTAATTAAATAGAATCGTTCAATGTAGTGGTTCTCACACCATGATCATCATGGGGATCTGTTAGAAATGCAAAGTCTCAGTTGCTGAACCCTCAGGAACTCTGGGATGGGCCCAGTGATGTGTTTTTATGCTCTTGGAAAATTATGATGCCTGCTGTGAGTATTAATAGTGGTTAAGTGCCTGAGTTTTGGAGTCATATAGGTCTGGGTTTAGGTTCGGCTCTATCTCTTATACTAGCCTGTGGCCTTGGGCAAGGCATTGAATCACTTAAATGAACAACCTATGTGGGATACGTACCTAAAATGAACAGGACAAACACACTGAGACTCATGGACATGGACAATAGACTAGTGGTTACGAGAGGGTATGGAGGAGGGGGGAGGGAGGAGGTAGACAGGGTTAATTGTGTCAAATATGTGGTGACAGAAAGAAATCTAACTATGGGAGGTGAACACATAGTGTAAATATATATATGCCTGACGGTTAAAGTATACAGATGAAACTTATTGGATTTCATTAAACGATGTCACCATAAAAAAAAATAATAATAATAAATAAGTAAGTAAATAAATAAAATGAACAACCTATTAGTACTTGCTTCAGAAGGTTGACATGTGGATTATACAAGTTAATTCATACAAGAGCTTAACAACAGTGCCTTTAAACGCTCTGTAACCGATGGCTCTTGTTACTGGCATCCAAATGAAAAGTATCGTGGAACACAAAATTTTCATTTTACATCAGAGGGATTTATAACTCCTGAATGGATAACATAGATGAGGTAAAAAGCAACTGGGGCCCAACTCTTCGGACCTGATCCGCTGAGCTGACATAAAACCACATGACACCTTTGGCTTTCTCCAGTTTTTCTTTGTCCCACTGGCAACTGAACAGCATGGCTATCTCCCTGTCATAACCCCTAAAGGACTCTTGCCCAAGGGCAGTGAAACAACCAACCGCAAGTGGAAGCCCAATGAGGAGCATCCAGAACCTAGGGCTCAGCTTCATCCCCTCATCTCATTTCCAAAGTCACAAGCCCTCTTGGGGTTTCTCACAGTGACTTCCTGGAATTTTTGTGGTTTACCAACTCAGAAGTTGCTAAGGGTTAACCATGCAAGAGCCAAGGTTCCCAAGCTTACTAAAAAAAAACCCAGGGCTGGAAGGGATCTGGCATGGTCATCTGTCTTAGGCCTTTGCCTTTACTCGAGGAAGGGTCTAAAATGCTCCAACCTTCCTGGTGCAGAGTGCGGAAGGTTGCATTATTGTTTTCCCAAAATTATTAAGAATGGAGGAATAGTTCCAATCCCTTTTAGGTACTCATATCAGTGCTGTACTCTCCTGACTATCATCCGGTCATCAGGTAAAATGTCTTTATTTTTAATTTACTCCTGTTTCTTCTTCCTCAGTTCTCTAAAGACATAGGAAACAACTGCTTCACATCCTTGTAAAATCCTTCTTCAAATACTTAAGTGCACAGGCTTTGAAGAAAGACAGAGTCGAGATCAAGTCCCTGTTCCACCCTTAACCAAGTATGTGAAATTGGGTAAGTTATCTAATCTTTGTTGCCTCTGTTTTCGATATCTGTCAAATGGGGTACAAACAGTCCCTATTTCATATGGTTGTTGTAAGAATTAAATGAGATACTAAGCTCAATAAATATTAAGTATTATTATACAATGAAAGACAGCATTATCGACACTCTTATGTTGGCTTCAATGAGAAGCATCTGAGGGTCTCAGGAACAACTAACAATCAGTTAATATAGTTAATACTCTAGGGAGTATGTATCACTTTGTAATCTCCGAGTTATAGTTGAGGAAACTCAAGCTCAGAGGTGGCCCTGCTCAAGGTCACATAACCAGTGAGTGGCAGATCCAGCCTTGAACCCAAGTCCATGGGAGTCTAAATGCTATGCTTTCCGCAAAGTGTTTGGTCAGAGGCAAGTCATCTCGGTGCCAAGTGAGGAGGCTATGTCGTGTGGAAGAGTGGGAAATGACAGAGCACAGTCCCTATGCTTTTCTAAACCCTCACTTTGTCTTTTGATTGTATGATACAATTGATTTTTAGTAATACTGGCAAAGTCCATATCTCATTTCCCACCACAGTCCAGAAAAAGCTCCTTCTCTGTCATCTAATGTGAAAGCCAAGCAATACAGACACCTTCAGCAGTGAAAGGACATGCAGCTGCCAGTGTCCCCACAGTGACAGCTCTCGCTAGGAAGCCCCAATGCGAGGTTTCCCATTTCAGTCTGGTTTCCCCCAGGCTGCCTGAGAATCCTGGCCTAGACCTGGCCTCCGGAGAGAATAAAGAGTGTCTGGTTACCATCTTTCTCCAGTTCCCATATGGCCAGAAGGGGTGATGCCAGTAAAACCAGGGAAAAACAGGAGAGGACCAACTGCTGCTGAAGCATCTGCAGGGGAGAGAGAAAGAGAGGAGGAGAAAGAGGAAAAGAGAAAGAAGAGGGAAAAGAGGAGAGAAAATGTCAATAAGTATTTGGAAACCATATTCACATTCTGTGCACATTATATTTAATCTTTATTTTCCTCTTTCTTCTCTACATGGCAGGTTAACACTAAGTAAATTACAGGGTAAGAAAATCTCCAAATAGAGAACCATAGGCAATCTGAGGCTGAAAGAGACCTAAGGCCAGCCTTCTGATATAAAATCCTCTTATTTTTAAGATGAGAAACCTAAGGTTCAGAGAAGGAACATGACTTGTCTGGATTAACATTCAGCAGTTATTTATTTGGTACTTTCTATGTAAAGGACACTGAGCTGGTGCCATTGGAAGTAACATAGGTTTTTACCTGGATTCTGCCTTTTAGGAGCAAATACTTTCATTCAACAAATACTTATTAAGTCAGTGTGATGACTACCTACCCTCTCGTTGGGAAGATAAGCTGCACACATGCATCACTGTAGCACAAGACAGTATGTAAAGTGACACCCAGGGCTAAAAGACTTGGGTAGGGGAGGAGAAGGTAATATAGAGGCAATCTTTCAAATTCTGGCAAGACCTAGTTGCCAGACCTTGTTCTAGGGATTTAGCTTCACTCCTTGTTTAGATTGTAATTCCTCCCAAAATAAAGACTACTCCCTTCTAGATAATGTAATCCAGTGGTTCTCAAACTGGAGTGTATGTCAGAATAACCTGGAAGGCTTGCCAAAACACTGACTGCTGAGTCCTACCCTCAGAGTGTGTGATTCAGTAGGTCTGGGGGTCAGGGCCCAAGGATCTGCTTCCTGGCAAAGCTGATATTGCTGGTCCTGGGACAGCACTTTGAGAACCACTGGTTTAACCCATGCTCAGGTTCCAGAGCCCCTGAAAATCAAGATGTTCTCTGGGAGAAGACCATAAAATATCGACATATCCACCATGAAGTAATGAAATGCACAATTTTGTGATAAATCAGCCACCGTCTTATATTGCAGCTCAATCCAGATTTATGAAAATCTTCAGACTGTGAAAATTATACCCTACCTGTGAATTAGGTAGAGATAGTTATTATTTAATTTCAGTCCGAAACACCTCCATCCCTCTCTCAGAGCACCCATGTTGGGCAGCAACGTGATTTCAGAAACCACTGTCTAAATTATATGAAGAACGAGACTCAAAATTTTCAGCCAAATACCTTAAAAATGAGCACCCCTTGATTGGGGTGTCTGAATACTGACAAATCACAGCTTTGTCAGAACTGCTGCTAATCCTAGGGGGACCTTGTCATGTGCTTTATCCCCTTAGATTGTAGAGGTTGTGAGTGGTGGTGATAGCACTAGAAGTCAGGCCTCTCTGTCCACTGTTAGCGGTCCTGTCACGGCGGCATGGCATTTTCAGGGGCATGTCTATCAGTTTGGTCCAGGCTATGGCTGTGACAAAGAACTAGTTGCCATGGCACACCAGTTGGTACACTCATAGGCTTGGAGTCAAGCAGCTATGGGCTTCAGTGACGGTTCCACTACTCCCTAGTTGTGTGATGCTGGCCAAATCACTCTCTGAGTCTCAAATCTGCTCATCTATAAAATGGACGTAATACTCATATCAAAGGGTTGTTTGGGAGAATGCAATGAGATGATGTAATAGAAGGCAACCAATAACATGTTAGGCTGTACCTTGGGGAAGGAAGAGATAAAGGAAAAATTTGGTGTATCTCTGTTTCGTATGCAATGGGTAGACAAGAAGTCATTCCTGGCTGTAGAGAAATGCCATAGAGGTGGTACAGTTACACAGGCCTGTAAAAACCAGATGCTGGTGCTCTGGGGAGGGCGACAACAGAGATTCCTGGCATCTCCTGGCAATTCCTTTACACTCTCCTAATGCTGGGGTTTCCCCACTGGCTGTGTGCCCAGCATTTCCTCTCTTGGCCTCAGATGCATTTGAGAATTTCAGGTGAATGTCACTTTAGGATCATGGGAGACCTGGTGATGGTTCTCATTTTAGTATCACCTACATTTTAAACCACAGAAGACTGGCAGGGGTGAAGATCATTTCCCCTGGGTTTGATTAAGAGGAAACCAGAAAGAAGTCAACACGTGGTTACTCTGTGGTCCTCTAGACCAGCTGTGTCCCACAGCCCGCATTTCCTCGGCATGCTAGGTTTGAGAGTCTTGAGGATGAAAGAAAAAATTTTTTTCATTTAATTTCATAGGTTTTCTAAACTCTTAAAACCCTTGTATGAGGGATGCAGGGAGCCTGGGGCCTGTGGCATATTAAGGCTCCCTAACACTGGGGCCAACATGGGCGTGATGATGGCACTTGGTTAGGCATCTCTTTTTCAAGTTTTAATTTCTTTGTTACTTTTTAATTAGAGGAGAGAATTATTATATAAAAATAAAAGACATAGTCGCAGAAGGCACGGGCAGCACATGCAAAGGGCCCCTGTGTGGGAGCCAGGCAGGCCCAGCACTGGCATCCCAGCTCTGCCAAGTCATTAGTTGTGTGACTCCAGTCAAGTCGCTTGTTAAGCCTCACCCTCTGAATCTGTAAAAAGGACATCTTAATGTGGTGAGGAGATAATGAAATAATTCATGTAAAATACCCACCCACCATGGTGCCCAGACTGAGTCAGGACTCCTGACTATTCGTTCCCACGGAGCCCCATTCCTCTCCTAGCATTTCCTACCATTGCGATCATATAGTTACTTTAATGTACGGTTACTTCCCCACTACGCTGAGATCTCCGGTGGCAAGGATCATGTCTGTCTTATTCTACTCAGTGTTCCTAGCATAGAGGAACTAGCATAGAGGGATTTCATCAATTATTAGAAAAGTGAATGAATGTACCAAAGTCATAAAATTTCAGATCCCAGGAAAAAGAACTCTAAGAGGCTGCCCAAATTCTTTCTAATATCTTGAAATTCCTTATTTGAAAAAAAGTAGGCCATCAGCGAGAGTTTGGTAGTCTCTTTGTTTAAAGGATATTTTAACCCAATCATTTTTTTAACCTGGAAATTATTGCACGCAATTTACCTGGGCAAGTATAAGACACCAGTACAGTGAAGATTATCTTTTTTCTTACAGATTTAAAAATTCTTTAGAAAGTGATTTAAACATTGCAGTTGCTTTCCATATTTTAAGTGGGCCCAAGTCAGTTAATCCAAAAGAACTGATAACTCAGCTATTATTCTGATTGATTGTCACAACTGACTTGTAAACCCATTGCAAATATGAGAGCAAGTATTTTCTGTAACATTCAATTATGAGATAAAAGTATGAATTCAATTATTTATTAAATTTATTATTACCTAATGAATGAAAGGCTTTTAAAAAGTTTATAATACTAAGGTAAGAAACACTTTAACTCTATACAGTCCTTTAATTGATGGGCATTAATACTGAGGAACATACTTTTATATGCATACCACTTTTAAACAAGATAAAACAAACTTTTCTATAACTGTGCATTTGTTCACAGACCTTGGTATAATTATTATTCATTGAGCTTCTAAATTAATACTTTATACATTAGTCCCCAAATTACTGACTTTTCACTAGTGTCCCAGCAGATAAAGCACCAGGAGTGCTTCTAGGAATCTACTCACTCCATGAAGCCAGGTGCAGGAGGAGCACACACGTGGTGCGGGCCTGGGGAAGGGGTGGCAGGGGCTCGGGAAGTGCTTACCTTGTTTCTGGCTGAGCTGCAGAGTTTGCTGGGTATGAAACGGTTGTTACTTCTTCTTCTGTTGCTGCTGCTGCTACTGGAGCTTATATACCCTACTCCTACCGAGCTTTCTGATAGAAACTTAAACTAGAAGCTGACTTGTTTCAAGTTGCAACACTGAAAACAGCTCTCAAAACCTTCTGGGGGAATTTCAAGAAGTTCCTTTTTTTTTTTTTTCCTTCTGTGTGTATCAATAAGTCTGAGGAAACATAGCATCAAAATCCCAGGTAATGAACTAAGAGGAAATGACTTTTGGGTGGGGAAAAAGGAAGGAGATGGACAACTGTTTTTCTTTGGGTTGACATCATGGCCAATGTGCTTAGAGATAGCAGTAGACAGCCTCCCTGAACTATGCAGATTGGAGAAGGCAGGCCAAGGAGTGGTCACGAAGGAGGCTGAGGCCTCACAGGAGGCTGAGTTCAGGCCAGGATGGGGCAATTGTAAGCTAGAGGGCCCCAATGCAAAATCTATGGTTCTTCTTAAGTCAGAGGATGAGATGAAGGACAAAAGGTTTAGTATATCTGGGGCACCCTTGCCCACATATGGATTTCGGAAATATATTACCATCCATTGTGCCTCCATGCACCCCCCCGCCCCCCACAGACACTCCTGCACATCCTCACTGACTCCTGCACATTCATACAGACACAGCCCTAGGGAGGATGAAAAATATGTGTACTGTTAATAAGATTCAAATGTGTAGAGACACGGCCGACGCTCATAGATACTAGCCCATAGAGCGGAAAGTGAAATCTTTACAGGCAAGCAGAGACAACCCAAGTCACATCCAAGGCATTACCCACTTAGACGCCCAGCGTATACCCTAACACTCATTTGCTCACACACCTATAGCCCTAGGAACTCTACGCAGATGAGTAGAATTAGAAGAATTAGCTAGGAATTCCCAAAAGAATTTAACATTCCTAAGGGTGCAAAGGTGTACACCGGTGTTGGACACCTCCATCCGGTCTGCACAGAATAAGGAACACCAAATACAGGCCAACAGATGCGGGCCATTCCCATAGTCGCCGACAGAAGGCGCTGCTGTGAGGCGGTCCCGGCGTGCGACCCGGCTCTCAGCGCTCACCCGAGTGGCGGCTTCTCCATCTCAGCTCCCGGTTCCAGCCACGGGGGAAGTTCCTGCGGCCCGGCTGGGTTTCAGGAGGGCACAGATTTCTGTGCTAACTTTCCTTTCAATCTCAGTGGGGTGAAAACGGAAAACCCAGGCGAGAGCGGAGGAGCTTCCCAGCCGCATACTTCCTCCCTCCCTTTGTCCCGGACGCGGGAGGGCGGAGCCACCCAGCTGGCAGTCCCACTGGTGATCCGACCTTGTGCTCTCGCTTGGGTGGAGACGTTACCTTCAGCTCTGAGCGTCTTCTCTCATTTCCTCGGTCCAAAACCTTGCCTCCTAGGCTTCAAATGAAATGGAAGTTCTCATGTTACACAAGATACGTATATGGTTAAGTGAACAAAGTAGATTGCGTTGTATGTTTGCTATACGGTACCGTGTGTGTGTGTGTGTGTGTGGGTGGGTGTGGGTGTGGGTGTGGGTGTGGGTGTGTGTGTACGTACGTGAACATTTTACAATGGGCATCCCTGGGGAGTATAGCTAGATGGTGATGGGGAAGAGGGGCCTTTCCACAGTTTGCTATATTTGTTATTATAGTTGACCCTTGAACAGAGTGATGTGTGTGTTGGTGGGGGATGTTAGGGGTGTCAACGCTCCCCCTGCACAGTCCTATAACTTGACTCCCCAAAAACTTAACTAAAATTGGCTGTCAGTTGAAACCAATCTGCAAGAGATTGGTTTCAGAACTCTGTGAATACCAAAATCCATGGAAGCTCGACTTTCTTATATAACATGGTGTAGAACCATGCATGCAGTTGGCCCTCTGCATGCGAAGATTCCCAACCACTGATGAAAAATACTGTTTTGGATCCAAAAAGGCAAATACTCAGGGCCGATTGTATTGAAAAAAAATCTGCAAATAAGTGAATTTGCGCTGTTCAAACTGCTGTTGCTCAAGGGTCAACTATATATGATACACACACTTATTAAAATATGTATCAACTTGGGGAGAGGGATTCTTTCTGTAAAAATTCCAACAAATCTACAAAGATTACTGAACAGAAAACAATATGAAGTTGACGTGAAATAGTTTCACTAATTCATTTACAGTGGCTGTACCACGACTGATGACCCCTTCTGTAACCTCTCGTAAATACATGCATATATACATAAAATAAGACGAGACAGGCACATTTTATTAATGTGTTCATAAATGCATCTTAGAAATTAAAAAAACTGATTGAAACATAAAATCTAAGTAAAAGTAGTATGCTAGTTATGCAAAAGAAGCTTCAAGGTAAGCCCCCGGCTCCCCTTTTCACTCGGATTGCAGCCCCAGGGCCAGTCCTATGTGAAAATCACTACCACTGTTCACCCATGCCAAGGACAAGTAGTAGGTGTTTAAGAATGTGGGATCTAGAGTTAGTGGTGGGGATTCTAGTACCTGCTGTGCAAGTTACTTGACTTCTCTAAGACCCTGTTCCCAAATCCGTAAAATGGGTTTAATAATAGTGATTGATCATAGGTTTGTTGTGAAGATTAAATGAGATATGATATAATGCACATAGCTTACTGCCTAAGTGCTTAATAAATAGCTGCTTTTATTCATTTATTTATTTACCCTGCCTGTCCCAGTGAGCTTTTGGTAACTGACTAGGGGGCCCTTTTGAGCCACACTTCTCTTGCTCAGGCCCGCTTCCTCATCTGGAAATGTACTCTCCCTTCCAATAAAACTTATTTTCTACTGTAAAGAAAAAAAAAAAAAAGATGACAAGAAGAGTGAAAGACAGAGAATTAATGTGAGGAGCCAGGAATAGGATTCCTAATCATTTGCTCACTATGAAACCACACAGCTACAGTTGAGCCACTAATTTGACTCTGAGCATACAGGTAACCAAGATGGGGAAGAATAACCTACACCTGCCCCATCAGACTATTTTGATGAGTCTAGTTCACCAACAGAGGAAGGAGTTCTCATACTTCATGTGCATATAAGAAAAAAATTCAGGTTCTTGGGCTTCATCCTCAGAGACTGTGATTCACATTTGGAATGGGACTCCGGAACCTGCATTTTAACACACCTGCAGGTGATTCTGGTGTGGGGACTCTGGCCTGCACTTTGAGACACGCTGTACAACCCCGTGATCCACTGCCTGAAGATATATCCTATGCTCTACTCATCACTAGACACCCCACAAGGCTAGCCAGCACTCCAGCAATATTCACTGAATGCCCATTGTCGTGATTTCACAAAGAAGCTTAAACACCTTGCCCCACCTCATAATCCAGACTTTGAACCCCTAGCATCCTGAACCAATGCCCATGATCTCCCTGTGGCTCTTCCTATAGGAGAAAAAGATGTGCTGACAAACAGCAGGTGTGCTCAACTGTGAGATGGAGCAGATCCCCCTAGATACTGAAAATAACTTAAAGAATTTTTTGATAAAAACATCTTTTTTCTTTCTAGAAGAGTGCTCTGAGCTTCTGGTACATGTTTCAAATAAAGGGGAAGCCATGTATAGTCTTTAAAATTAAAATGTTTAAGAAGTATACAAGCAACACATATGTATATACTATTGTAAACACTTTAAACAATACAAACATATGTAGAAAAAACTTGAAGCCCTGATTCATGAATTTCCAGAGATCACTGTTGCTGACATTTCAGTATACCTCCAGAGTCTCTCTCAACCCTCCTCTATGTATTTATATCTATTTATCTAGCTAGATATATAGAATCATGTTATATACATTCTGAGAATTGTTCTTTTCTTGCAATAGTTTGTTTTGTGTCCAGCGGCTTCCTGTGTCTTGCTAGAGGTCATCTGGGATATCCTATTTGGATCAGTTAAAGTGCTTTAGGCTTTGTTCTCCAGCTAGCTTCTTTCGAGCTCCCAAAATGGCTTCACAATTCCAGGCATCAACATCTTTTCTGTGTGTCTCTCTTAGGAGCAAAGCATTTGTCCCAGAGCTGCATAGTCTTCTCAAGTCTCCCTGGTCACCTATTAACTGATCACCGAGATGGAGACTGGACTTAGAATGAAAGTGTTATGTTAGATGAGTCAGGTCTGGCCCTGAGCTATGGAGAGGATCTTGATCCCAGAGGAAGGGATATTCCAACTAGGTGGAAACAGGGAGGCAACTGAGACTCGCATATGTCTGTTAAGTCAGCCCAAGTGGTTAGTGCTGCCAATGAAGTGAAGAGATATGGCAAATGTATAGATAATGAAGACCAAGGCTTCTTCCTCAAATGGTCAGTTGCTTTTGAAGGGATGCTTCTAGTTTAGGAGGATGGGCAGTGGCTCCCACCTGCCATCTTAGAGATTCGTGTTCTTAAAGAAAAAAATTCTAGAAGGTTCTATAGCCAAAAATTTAACAGTATATATCTGAATGGTATGATTGTGGATGATTTTTGTTCTCTATGATTTCCTAAATTTTCCAAAATGTCTACAATAAACTTGTATTACTTTCTAATTGAAAAAAAGAAAATTATTGAAAACGAAATAAATAAAGCCACACACGCACACACACACACACACAAAAGGCAGAATATGTAAGGTTAGGAATATGCATTCTAGAACCAGTAGTAGGTTAGATCATGACTAGTATTTCAAATACAGTTGAATGTGTTCCTGGATTATCTCCTTTTCCTGGAATGCAAGTTGCCAAGTGGCCACATGGGCCACTGCTAAGGTGCTATACTTTATGGGCGGTGATAGAGAAGTGTCTTTCCTGGACGTGGCCCATGTGGCCTATCCTAAGTGTGTTTCCAGCGGGCAAAGGACTGCCTGAAGTGATCTCATTCAATTTTTCAAGTGTCCTTCAAAAACACATTTTGTTTTGTTTTGTTTTGTTTTAATGCTTTGTAAAAGATCCCTAAAGTCACTTTCATTTTTAAAGAGACTAAGATGACTTCAACTTCCCCCACTTCAGCAACGACTGATCACATTTCTACACTGTCATCCTCCCATCCCCGGCCCATGCTATGAAAGCAGTGGGTGTCAGATGCAGTTTCTGCTGAAGTTCATCATCTGAGTGGGCATCTTTGGCCTCTACTGGACAGATTGCAGAGTAAGACAGATGCTCTACTTTGACATTGATGTTTCCATTTGCATAGGGGAATTTTTTTCTCTTCCTCTCTAAATGCAATTTTATGTTAATCCCAGTGAAAAGAATGGGTGTGTGGGAAGCCGGAAGGAAGCGGGTGTGTCCTAGGCTGCAGGATTGCTGAGGTGTTTAAATGCTTATGTTAGAAAGGTGTGGAAACACTTGGTCTGGTCTTGATGTCAGCAGAGACAGGTAGAACAAGGCAAGGTGGGACAAGGTGGCGAGGGTGGGCTTCTGGGGTGAAGCCCTGCCATCTACTGTCTGATGGTCCCTTTCGATCTCAGCTCAAACCAACCAACAATCATTGCATACCAAATGACCGCCTCGCGTCTAGGATGAACTGTTAAACCACATTCAACAGAGCATATTCCTGCGGCTTACTCACCCTGCTGCACATAGAATTCTCAAGGAAGAAGCAGCTTGACCAAAAATCAGGGCCTGTGCCTTGGAGCATCTTCCACTGTGACTGTTGATTTGGGTCTCACATTTGAGGCTACTTTGTTTCTCTGTTCGTAAGAATTTATATTCATCCAGGCTTTTTATTGTATCTTGCTGTGGAAATCTGCTCCAGAAGATAGCTATTGACCCCAGGTCTCCTGCCTTATCAGTTTCTTTCATTTTCTTTCTAATTTTTGGCTTTACGAGTCCTATCCTTCCTGTCTATCTGTCTATC